TTGATCCTAGGGTGTTATAAATAAGTAATAAAGATATAGATACAAAGATACATGCTTAATATTTTTTATAATAGTAAGACATTATAAATAATCTAAATGTCCAATAATGGAAGAGTGGTTAAATTATGGCATATCATAATGTTGCCATGTAAAATACAGGATACCCAGTCACATTAAAATTTCAGTTAAGCAACACATAATTTTTTTGGTAGAAGTATATCTCAAATATTGCTATAAGATACACTTATTTTTAAAAAGTATTCACTGTTTATCTAAAGTTCAAATTTGAACATAGCTATACTAAAAAATTATTCATTGTCTATCTGAAATTCTAATTTATCTGGATGTCTTATATTTTCATTTGCTAAATCTGATCACCCTATACATCCATATGATAGAATACTACATAGCCATTAAAATTCAGATTTTTAGCAGAGTAGCTTTCAAATTGTGTTTCATCTCTTCCTGTGCTTTAACTAGAACATCTCACCTTTTATCTCTTTTATATTTTAGACTTCTATGTGAGAGTTGGTTTAAAAATAAGGGTCCCATTACTAAACAAAGCTTGAAAAACACTGTTTTAGGAAACTAACAACAGGAGAGAGTGCTCAAAAAATAGATATTACAGGCCCAGCACAGACGGTGGCTCATGCCTGTAATCCCAGCACTTTGGGAGGTCGAGGCAGGTGGGTCATGAGGTCAGGAGTTCAAGACCAGCCTGGCCAAGATGGTGAAACCCTGTCTCTGCTAAAAATACAAAAATTAGCTAGGCGCAGTGGAAGGTGCCTGTAATCCCAGCTATCTGGGAGGCTGAGGCAGGAGAATTGCTTGAACCCAGGAGGCAGAGGTTGCAGTGAGCCGAGATCATGCCACTGTACTCTAGCCTAGGCGACAGAGCAAGACTCTGTCTAAAAAAAAAAAAAAAATTACATAGATAAAAATCATGTTGAAATCAGTATGATTCTAGGCTTGTGAGTACATGCAAATACACAGAGAGAAAGAGAGAATGAGAGAGACAGACAGACATCAGACACACCGGAAAAATATTTTTAAAAAACAGTTATTTCTGGGTATTGGGATTATAGGTGAGTTTTGGAAGATTTCCAGATGATTTTTTCAAATTTTCTTCAATGGATAAATGCGTTTACATTTTGAAAAAGAAACACTATTAAAAATACCTATCTTCTCAGATGACATTAATGCTTTAACATCATTAACTCTCTGTATCTGTGATTATTAAATCTGGGAGTTATGAACTCTCTGGGGATCTGATGAAATCTGTATCCTATTGATTCACACAAAACTTTGCATACAGCATCCATCCCCCACCTCAACTTCTTGTTAAGAATCCCTCTCAAGATTCTGTTTCGGTGTTGGTTGGTTGGCTGATTTTGAGATGAGGTCTCACTGTTACCCAAGCTAGAGCGATCTCGGCTCACGAAACCTCTGCCTCCTGGGTTCAAGTGATTCTTCCACCTCAGCTTCCTGAGTAGCTGGAACTCTAGGCACACACCACCACACCCAACAAATTTTTGTACTTTTTGGAGAGAATGGGTTTCACCATGTTGCCCAGGCTGGTCTCAAATTCCTGAGCTCAAATGATCTGCCTGCCTTGGCCTCCCAAAGTGCTGGCTCACTCACAGGAGTGAGCCACCACGCCCACCCCTCCCTAGATTCTTGATTCTAGAATGCAGTTACTTAACTCTGCCTATTTATAAAGCTGTATAATCTGGGCTGGGTGTGGTAGTTCACGCCTGTAATCCCAGCACTTTGGGAGGCTGAGGCAGGTGAGTCTCTGAGACCAGCCTGGCCAACATGGTGAAACCCTGTCTCTATTGATAATACAAAAATTGGCCAGGCGTGGTGGTTTACACCTGCAATTTCAGCTATTAGGGAGGCTGAGGCAGGATAATCACTTGAACCCAGGAGGGGGAGGTTGCAGTGAGCAGATATCATACCACTGTACTCCAGCCTGGGGAACAGAGTGAGACTCCATCTCAAATAATAATTAAAAAATATATACAGCTACATACTCTGTCCCTGAGACAATGGTTCTTAACCTATTCTGGGGATGTGGGGAAAAGGGATCCCACACCTGCTCTGAGACCCAGTTAAAAGCTATGGACTCTTTCCTCAGGAAAAAAAGCACCATAAACTCACACGCAGCTGCATGTGCTTTCCAGAGGCTCACAGACTCCTGAGGTCCATTCTTGGAGTCCAGATTCAGGATCCCTGGTGCCATCCCAAGCCTTTGGCACTCCCTGGAGCCCTAAAATGCCCAAGTTCCTTTTGGGCCAAACTGGTTAAACATGGTTTTTGAAAAACGGAACAAAGCCAAGGATAGAATTAGCTCAGCACTCCCAGGGGGCTGCCTCACAGCAAGCACTTTAAAAGTGTGTGTGAGAGAGTATGATGCAGAGGAAGAATTTCTTGTACTCTGAGTACTGCTGAAAAGCATTCAATTTGGGAGGGCTTCACAAACAGGAAGCAGCAGCAGAAGGGAAATCCCAAGTTGGTACTTCTTACTTCCTAGTCCCATGCCTTTGGGATGGGATGGGGACGGGAGTGTAGGGGTAGGGAGGGACAGGATATTGTTTTAATTCTGAGTTGGATTTGAGTTGGATTTGAAAGATCTCTCAAACAGCTGTACTAAGAACCAAACCCCAAGACCTCTACCAACTGCCACGGCAAAGAGGACTGCTGGGGCCTGGGAGGAGCGCCTGCAGGAGGGGAAGGAGATTTGGCAGTAGCTCTCCAGAAGTTAAATGGGCACACCCCTAGTCAAATGGAAGATTCTGCAGATGACTCATATCAATGTTTAAAACCATTCCTACAGGCTTCAAACATCACTCCAGACCCTGATGGCAAAAGCAAGCATGGTTTTCTGAGATCAGAGAATGCTGCCTGGACTCCCTAGGGAGTAGCGGCTCTCAGAGGTGACCCCGGCAGCAACAGAAGCATCACTAGCCACAGCCCGAGTGACAGCAAGGGCAGGAGTGGCATCACCCCAGTGCCGACACTGCTCAGTGTTTCCATTTCCGGGTCTGTATATCTGTGTGAATATGTGAGTGTGCTTATGTGTGTACACAGGCACAAGCTTTGCCGTGGACAGGGACGTATCTGTGTGTATCAGAGCATATGTGTGTGTGCGAGTGTGTCACACACATACTTTAAATACAAAAGCTCTTCAAGGAGGCACAGAGGGATTCACCCAATGGTTAAAGATTCACTTATTTTGGAATTGACTTGTTTTTCAAGTTTCAGAGCTATTTGTGGGGAAAGCAGGCAGTACCCTAGGAAACATCTCTTCCTAAAATGTGCACACACATGTGCTGAAAGCAGCCGCTGAGGGCCTGGGGAAGACAGGCCTGGCTCTCTGGGGCCTCCTCCCTCCATCCTGCCTCTGAGGCTGCTGGAACTCTTGCAACATCTCAGAGCCACTCCATCAGACCCTGTAATACGGAAGCCTCTGTGTCTTAGGAGGAGAGAGGAACAGAATCGGTGGGAAGCCCCCACTGTAGCCTGACAGTTCCATGGTGAAGATGGGGTTCCCAGCAGCCAGCCCAGGGGAGTGACAGTCACAGGCCTCCCAGAGACTTGGCCAAGGAGTTTCCTCCACACCCTTTTTGGAGGCTCTATGAAGCAGAAGTGTGCCTAGGGTTCTGGGACGCAGGATGACTGGGTCTGAGTCTCAGCTCCCCACAGTGGGCAAGATGTATCATTCATTCAGCCTCCACCTCTTCACCTGCAAAATGGGGACAATGACAGAACCTCGTCCTTAAGGACATTAGGAAGACTTGAGGTAATGCCTCCACAGCACACTGCTCAGCACTCCCTGCCCCACCTTCCGGATGAGGCTGCCCAGCTCTGGAGCACCCTCGGAGGCCAGCCGCAGCCTTTGCTGCAGCTGCGTCGCAGTCAAACATCTCCTTCTGCGCCATCCTGTGTCCCTTGCAGGTGTTCATTCCAAAGTGCTGCCCAGTCTGGCGCAGGGGCTCACGCCTGTAATCCCAGCACTTTGGGAGGCCAAGGCAGGCGGATCACCAGATCAGGAATTTGAGACCAGCCTGGCCAACATAGTGAAACCCCGTCTCTACTAAAAAATATACAAAAATTAGCCGGGCATGGGGGCACGCACCTGTAATCCCAGCTACTCAGGAGGCTGAAGCAGGAGAATTCCTTGAACCGGGGAGGTGGAGTTTGCAGTGCACTCCGGCCTGGGTAACAGAACATGACTCCATCTCAAAACAACAAAACTGCTTCCCCAAGGTACTGCCGGATAAACCTGCTGCATGCAAATCTCCGTCTCAGAGTCAGCTTCTTGAGAACTTAAGACTTGAGGTGAGATCCCTTAGGGAGCAAATGAAGTGAGAACAGCCTTGACAAGCAATTTTGGAGGAATGGTAGGGACAAAAACCTGACTAGTGTGGATTCAAGAAAGAACAAAAGGAGAGAAAGAGCACAGCAAGCAGAGCCAGCGCTTTCCAAGAGTTTTGCTGTGTTACTGGGAGCACAGAGACGCAGAAGCAGCATGCCATTCCCCGCGGCTAGCGCACGTGCTGACATCCGGCCCTAGATATGGACACCTGTCCTGTCTGCCTCTGTCTCAGCTTCACACAGATGTTTCTTATGTTTGTCCAAATTGTCCAGTTGTTCTCAGCAGAAGAACTGCTCCGATACAAGCTAGGTCATCGCAGCTGGAAGCAGAAGAACAAGGCCTCGGCCTTGGGTGATGTCCAGAGCTGGATATTGGGATCTCTGAAGACACAGGAGGCAGCTATCCCTTGGCTGTGCCCACCTTGGCAGGACAAAAGTCTCCAACCCTCGGGTAAAGGCAGATACCTTGCCTCCCGCAACTCCAACTCTCCTCAGTCACAACCCCCTGCCTATAGCTCCAGCACCACAGAAGATACCCAATAAAGCCACTACCAACCTTCCCACTGGGCCCCCAGCTCCTTATTAAATTGTCTTCTGTCACAAGGACCACTTACTTATAACAGCTGTTGCTGTGGCAACCAGGCAGCCAGCCTTCTGCTCCAGCTAACAGCCATGAGCCTCCTGCTGGCTACTTGGCTTGGGCACCTGCAGGGGAAGATGCCCCCCAAGTGTCTGTGAGGCTGGAACATGGTGGAAGGCGTGGGAAGTGAGGGAGCAGGAATGGGAGGCTGATTGCAAAGGGCAGAGCTCAGTGCTTTTGGAATTGTTCTCTCATTCCCCACCAACAGGTTGGAAGAACTATGAGATGACTTCTGCCAGAGGGGCTCCCACACCTTCTTTCCATGTCGGCCACTTCTCCAGCAACACTTCCTTACCCACTCGACTCCTCATCTACAAGCTGAAGGAGGGAGGGCCCTCCAGGGGCAGAGAGAGGGCCACACACAGCTAGGACAGAATCCCGCCAATACAGGTAAAGGGCCCTGGGTGCTCACCAGCCCTGAGAAAAGGGTAGCAAAGGAACTGGCATTGGCTGATCCCAACATTGCTGTTGAGAAGCTGTAACCTCATGCCCTCCTGACTCTTCCTGAGAGAGGAGCTGGTTTCTTTAACCAGTCCTGACTGTCTCTAGTCTGAACTTATAGCTAAGTGACTAGAGATTTCGAAGTTGCACAGATGAGAGTTCAAACCTTAGTTCTTTCGCTTGCTACCTGTTTAACAGTTTAACATGAGGCAAATTACCTAACCTCTCTGAGCCTCTGTTTTTGTAGCTGTAAAATAGGGATGAATATAGTACTGATCAACTGTTTCGAGGATTAATTGAGATGGGGCACATGAAGTATGTAAGGCACGGTGCCCGACACAGCAAGCTCTCAAGAAGTTGGGAGTGTTATCGTTATTATTGCTATTGTTGTCCTCATCCATGATTATGTCACTGGCAGACCTAGATGCTGAACACATAATTGAGAGATTTAAAAGAACTGAGAATGCTAAAAGCAAACCTCAGCATACGATCTACAATATGGTATTATTTTTGTCTTTTAAAAAATGTTAACAGTGGATATCTCTAAGTGACAGTGTTATGTTTTTCTTTGTGCTTTGTTTTTTTGGCTTTTCTGAACATATAATACTTTCGTGATTAGAAAAAATACTCTTAAAGGTTGAGGATGAGCATTAAAAGTGAGCTAACTACTAAAAACCATGAAATGGTACACTTTAATGGGTGAATTGTATAGTATGTGAATCATGCCTCATTAAACTGTTATTTTAAAAAGCCTTAAAACATGAGTCAAGGTGTACAAGAATAGCCCATTCAAAAATTCTTAACATAAAAATGTATAAACTAAAGCAAAAAAAGTAAAAGAAAGAAGGAAAATGAAGCAAGGGTGAAAAACAGGACTATAATGTAAAGTTAAAGGTTCCATCACTCACTGTATTGCTGAGGCCGTGGGAAATCAGGAACTTGCATGTGTGTATGGCTGCTGGGAGTGTCAGTGGATACAACTGCCAAGGAGGGCAAATCAGTGAAAACTACCAATGCTACAAGTGGACATACCCTCTGACCCAGCAATTCCTTTTTAGGAAATTTATCCTGTAGACATATATACAGCGTAATGAACCACAGCATTGCCTGTTAAGAGCCAAAGACGAGATACTCCAAATATCCATCAGTAGGTGGCTGATTGAATAAGCTATGGTATAGCCATACAACTGAAATAATATGTAGCTGTAAAAATGTAAATAAAAGAATGAGGAAACTATCTTCTGATTAAGTGAAAAAGAAATCAAGGTACAAAACAGTATATGTAATAGGCTACCTTTTGTGTAAAAGGTGAGAAAAGGCATCTATCTATCTATCTCTGTATATATTTCGTTTCATTTTGTGTTGAGACAGGGTCTGGCTCTGTCACACAGGCTGGAGTGCAGTGGTGTGATCTTGGCTCACTGCAGTTTCTGCCTCCCAGGTCCAAGCAATCCTCTCATCTCAGCCTCCTAAGTAGCTGGGACTGCAAGCATATGCCACCATGCCAGGCTAATCTTTGTACTTTTTGTAGAGATGGTGTTTTGTCATGTTCCCCAGGCTGGTCTTGAAGTCCTGGACTTAAGTGATCTGCCTACCTCGGCTTCCCAAAGTGCTGAGATTACAGGCATGAGTCAACACACCCAGCCAAGACTATACATTTATATTTTCTTGCATATGTGATATGGTTTGAATCTGTGTTCCCACCCAAATCTCAGGTTGAATTATAACCCCCAGTGTTGGAGATGGGGCCAGGAGGGAGGTGATTGGATCATGGGGGAAATGTCTTACTAATAGTTTAAACGCCATCCCCCTTGGTGCTGTTCTCACAGTAGTGAGTTCTCATGAGATCTGGTTGTTTAAAAGTGTGTAGCACCTCCTCCCTCTTCTCTCTTCCACGCACGTTGGCCATGCGAAGTGGCTCACTCTCCCTTTGTCTTCTGCCATGATTGGATGCCTCCTGAGGCCTCTCCAGAAGCAGAAGCCTTTATGCTTGCTGTACAGCCTGCAGAACTGAGAGCCAATTAAACCTCTTTTCTTTATAAATTACCCAGTGTCAGGTATTTCTTTACAGCAATGCAAGGATAGACTGATAAAGATATGCATAAGGAAATTCTGGAAGTGTACATGAACAAAACAGTGGTTGGAGAGAACTGAGAACTGAGCAGATCGGGGATAAGACTTTCCAGAGTGAAATGCATACATTCTGATACTCCTTGACCTTAGAACCTGATTAATGTACTACCTATGAGAAATTAAATACTCCAGAAAAAAAAAATATATTGCAAGCAGTTTTGATTAAAGAACAATGGCAAAATGTTAATGTTACTTTTTTTTTCTTTTGGAAACTTAGTCTCGCTCTATTGCCCAGACTGAAGTGCAGTAGTGTGATCTTAGCTCACTGCAAGTTCTGCCTCCTTGGTTCAAGCAATTCTCCTGCCTCAGTCTCCCATGAGGCTGGGACTACAGACACATGCCATCATGCCTGGCTAATTTTTGTATTTTTAGTAGAGACAGGGTTTTGCCATGTTGGCCAGGCTGCTCTCGAACTCCTGACCTCAAGTGATCTGCTTGCTTCAGCCTCCCAAAGTGCCAGGATTACAGTCATGAGCCACCACACCCAGGCTAATTTTTTTTTTTTTTTTTTTGAGACAGGGTTTCACTTTGTTTCTCAGGCTGAAGTGCAGCTCACTGCAGGCTCAACCTCCCCTGCTCAAGCGATCCTCCCAACTCAGCCTCCTAAGTAGCTGTCACTACGGGCACATGCCACCATGCCCACTAATTTTTTGTATTTTTCATAGAGACAAGGTTTTACCATGTTGCCCAGGCTGGTCTTGAACTCCTGAGCTCAAGCAATCTGCCTGCCTCAGCCTCCCAAAGTGCTAGGATTACAGGCATAAGCCGCGGTACTTGATCAGTGTTAAACATTGAGGTGGTTGATGGGCCCGTGGGGGTTCATTGTATGTTTAAATTTTTTCATAATAGGTTGTTAAAATTTTAAAAGGTATTCATAAAGATCAAAAGGTGGAAATAATCCAAATGTCTATCATCCGGTGAATGAAAAAATATGAGGCATATCCATGCCATGGAATAGTATTCATCAATAAAAACCCACAAACAACTACTATAAACTACAACATGGGTGAACCTCAAAAATATCATGTGAACCAGCTCAGGGCCCTGTGCCTGAAATCCCAGCTCCTTGGGAAGCTAAGGCAGGAGGATCCCTTGAACCTAGGAGTTCGAATCCAGTCTGGGCAACATGATGAGACCCCCGTCTCTAAAAACAAATAAATATTTAAAAAATCAGGTAAAGTGAGAGAAGCTAGTCACAAAAGACTGCATGTTGTAGGTTCCATTTATATAAAATGTCCCCCCCAAAAGCAAATCCATAGAGACAGAGAATAAATTAGTTGTTCCCTAGGGCTGGGAATGGGAAGGGGAAGTGACTGTATATGGGCATGAGGGATTCTTTTGGAATAACAGAAACATTCTAAACTTGATTATGGTGATAGTTGCACAAGTGTAAATTTAGTAAAAGTCCTTGAATTGCAGATAGAACTAGTGAATTTTTTGGTATGTAAATGATACCTCAGTAAAGTGGCTTTTTAAAAAGGTAAAAGGGGGTTCGGCTCGGTAGCTCACATCACTCACATCTGTAATCCCAGCACTTTGGGAGGCTGACGCAGGTGGATCATTTGAGGTGAGGAGTTCAAGACTTGCCTAGCCAACATGGTAAAACCACGTCTCTACTAGAAATACAAAAATTAGCCAGGCATATTTTTTGTAATCCTGTAATCCCAGCTACTTGGGAGGCTGAGGCACGAGAATCACTTGAACCCGGGAGGTGAAGGTTGCAGTGAGCCGAGATCGCACCATTACACTCCAGCACGGGCAACAGAGCGAGACTCTGTCTCAAAAAAGAGAGTGTTAGTTTCTGGCACTGGCCTCATTGGGTGAAAATGCCAGCTCTCCCAGTGTAGCTGCTCCTTTATCTTCCTGTTTCCTTATCAGTAACGTGGACCTGGGAATAACCAATGCTTACTATAAAGCCAGGCATTGGTTTTAGCAACGTACACATATTAATGCACTTAAGCCTCACAACTCTTCTATGATCATCGTCATTTTACAAAGAAGAAAACGGCACAGAGAGGTTAAGTGACTTCCCCACAGCCACACACTTAGCAGGCAGCATGGCAAGCAGTAGCCAGATTTTAAGGACCGAATGCTTCACCACCATACTGTACCACCTCACAGTGACATCACTATTTCAGGTTGTTAGGAGAATTAAATAAAAACAGTGAATGCAAAGTACTTGACATACAGTAAGTGCTCAATAAATGCTAGTCAGGGAAGAAACTACTACTTAACTGACTCAAATGGCTTGAATTTGTCCAATTGTATTTTGAAGTGTTTGGGGAGAAAGATGCCAAGCCTGTGTAAGAAGTAGTCTGTCCGAAGGAAAGTGCTTAACTCTACAGAGCCTCCATGAAGAAATTCCTTTTCTATCTGGTTTAGACATTAAGGGATGGAGCAAGAAGTCAGTGCAGTTCCTACCATGCCTTGGGTTTCTTTGCAGCAGTGAGGCAGTGTGCTGAGGAGTTTAGAGTCAAGGCTTTGGGGCGGCACACAACAGGGTTTGGTCCTGGCCCCTCTACCAATATGGCCATCTGATCAGTAACAAGATACTTCACTTCTGTTCACTTCACGTCTGTAAAATGGGTTGGAAAAAAAAAACCTCCATAGAGGTTGCAAGGATGACATATTGGAATACGTGCAGGTCGCTCAGCATTGGTCATAGCACATATTGAGGGATTAATAAGTTCAGTCAGTGTTCTTGTCAGCCACAGATGTATTTCTCATTACAGCTCATTAAGGAAGTATAGCACTTTGTAGAGGAAGGTTAACAAAAGGCCTTGTGCTCTCAGCAGTGTGATCCGACTCTCCACACTGGGAAAAGGCTGCCCAATGGGCCAACCCTGTCATCACCCCTGAGGGACGACGGGAACTTTATTTAGCCACTGGCTCTAGCAGGCACCTGCCAGTCCCTCCACAGGGTGTCCTGCAAACCAAACTGGTAGGGGAACCACCATCACTAGACTAATGAGAAAAGGATGAGGGGCTATAAGTAGATCTGTGCGTTTGGCATAAGAAAGGTTATTATGGGTAGGAGGGAGTAATTCTCCATCTCCCCAGATAACAGAGAAAAAGCCACTGGGTCTAGGCTGGGGCAAAAGGCTGGCTAGGCTAGGCTTGAAGAAGGACTTTCCATGGGCCATTAAACTGGCCAAGGACACAGGAGACCCGCTGTGGTGTCACTAGGATGGAGATGTGCTCCGGAGCAATCAGGCGTGCTCCTTCCCTGGGGCTCCGGGGATGGCACTCCCATTCCCTGCCCTGCCTGCGTTTGCCTCAGTCTCCTCTCCTAGGAGGAGCAGGGCTCAGCAGGGGCAGCACCATTAAGCAGCTGACCCACCTTTTTCCATGTGTCTCAGGACAGAGGTCATAATGGGGAACAAAAATATGGTCCAGCATGCCAGCTGAGAGCATTCACTCAGGAATGACGAAACCTGGATGAGAGTCCCGGCGCTGCCACTCACTAGCTGTGTGGCCTTGCACAAAGTACTTCACCTCTCTGTGCCAACTTCCTCTGTGCCCCCGGTCCTATACTGCATGGATACTGAGAGCAGAAAATGCTTAGCATGCCTGGGAACAGAGTTAATGCTCCATAATTAGCAGCTACTGTTAAGCTTGTGTTGAGGCTAAGACAAAGCCATCCACAAGTCCCCTTTCCCACCTGAGGTTCTTGTCGTGAGGAGGGACCCAGGATGCCATCCGGCCTGCGCCCAGGAGGGATATCGGAACCCCTCCCAAGTTAGCAGTGCCTGTGGGGTCACACCCATTACAGGACTTGGGGTGCCTACTATAGTAATAACCGTGGTTCCTTCTGCTTTCATGGCACTGAACAGTTTGCAAAGCAATTTCACACAGGTTATCTCAGTTGAGCTCTTATCTAATAAGCCTCTGAGCATTCTCATAGCAGTCTTTTTTTTTTTTTTTGAGACAGAGTCTCGCTCTGTTGCCCAAGCTGGAGGGCAGTGGCCGAGATCTCAGCTCACTGCAACCTCTGCCTCCCGGGTTCAACCGATTCTCTTGCCTCAGCCTCTTGAGCAGCTGGGATTACAGGCACCCACCACCATGCCCGGCTAATTTTTGTATTTTTAGTAGAGGTGGAGTTTCACCATGTTGGTCAGGTTGGTCTTGAACTTCTGACCTCATGATCTGCCCGCCTCAGCCTCCCAAAGTGCTGGGATTACAAGCATGAGCCACCATGCCCTGCCCATAGTAGCCATTTTACAGATGAAGAAATGGGGGAAGTCAAGGTCGGTAACACAGCTAGTGAAGAAAGACTGAAGCCCAGGGGGTCCAGCTCCTGTTCTACATGACTTCAAGCCTTCCTGCCAGAGCTGGGATTGCCTTTCCCCATCGCACTTACTCAACCTGAGAGCCTGGGCCTGGTGGTAGGTGAGTGCAGGAGGGAGGCCTGGCAGTCTGGCGCAAGGTCAGGGCTTGGCGCATGTCTGTGGAAGAAGATGCCCTTCCCACTGTTCTGACCAGGGTGGGTGGGGACAGACCCTGGCCTCCCTGGGTCGTATCCTTGTCAAGTCAGCTGTATGAATAGCTGGTGTACTGGGAGCCACCAAGCCTAGAGACTCAGAAAGTCAGAGCTGAGACCCCCCTTATCTAATAAGCCAGGGAGGGGGGCTTATTAGATAAGAACTTTGGGGATAAACTTCAAATGTTCCTATATAAAATTTTATTTTTTTAAATTTTACTTATTTTTTTGAGACAGGGTCTCATTCTGTCACCCAGGCTGGAGTATAGTGGCATGATCTCCACTCACTAAAACCTCTGCCTCCTGGGCTCAACCATTCCTCCTGCCTCAACCTCCCAAGTAGCTGGGACTACAGCCATATGCCACAATGCCAAGTTAACTTTTTAAAATTTGTTATAGAAACGGGGGTCTTACTATGTTGCCCAGGTTGGTCTCAAACTCCTGGCCTCAAGCAATTCTCCTGCCTTGGCCTCCCAGTGTTGGGATTATAAGCATGAATCACCCCGCCCAGCCTGGAAGCTCCTTGACACTTGAGCTTCTAACCCTGTCTCCTGGCCAGCGGGCTGCCACACCCCAGAACCAGGTCGCTCAAGGGAGATCTGTGAGTCCTGAAGCTTCAGGGAACCTTCCCTGGTGATGTTAGCTTCTTCTAACACAGTTTAGCTCTTGTCAGTCATAGAACCTGGATAGAAGGTCTTGGCACTTAATTCTTTCCATTTAAGGCTGAAATAGCATTTCCATTCTCTACCCTCATTTTCGAAGGCTAGTAATTTTCTGATACCATTACCATTTGGGCTGAGATGGTTCCAAGCCCAGAGGTAAAGCACATGAGGCATTTTCCTAAGCCAATCTGAAAGCTGGGAGGCACTTTCAAGAGTCACATTCTTAACGTGAATCTTTCAATCACTCTCTGCTACAGCATCTTGGGGTCAATGAGAGCCTTACTATTTTTACAATGTTTTCATTTGCTTTTGTCAGTTTAAAACCATCAGCAATGAAACTGAAAGGCAAAGCCCCTGCCAACATCTTGTCTCAGCTCCTCTGCAGAGGCACCAAACACAGATGATTCTGGGAGTCTGTCCCTGCCGTGCTGTTCTCAGCTGCA